ATACAGGTATCTACGACTATGGTGATGTTCTTCACAAGTCGATACTGTTCTACGAGGCTCTACGTTCTGGGGATATCCCGGAAGCTACTAATCGTATACCGTACAGAGGTGATTCAGCTTTAGATGACCAGGGATTCTATGGAGAAGACCTCACAGGAGGCTGGTATGACGGTGAGTGTTTGGTGTACATCAAAAAACATTGAAACATTGAAAGCAAATGCTTCACACAAAAGACGATATATATAGTAAATGCAATGATACCTAGTTAGAAATTGACGCCGTGATCTCATTGAGAGCGAGAGGACCACGTGACTTTTTTATCCCTCAAATTACATTCTCTCCTGCTATCGCGTTCACAGTGGACGCAGTCAAAATCTCGGCCGCAATTATCGTCTGTGGTATAAAAATACATGAATATACAATGGCCTATTTAATACTTACTATACTTGTAATTGTAGGTATTAACCATGTTAAGCACGGACTACCAATGGCATCGAGTGTGATAAATCTGGCTTGGGGAATGATTCAATACAAAGACGCCTATGTCGATGCCGGTGCATGGGAGTATGGTTTAGAAAGCATCAAATGGGCGACGGACTACTTTATTAAGTGTCATACTGCTCCAGATGAATTCTATTATCAGGTAACTTGTACAATTAACCAAAAGAATATACGGAAGTAAAAATGTTCACTAAATTTTCTGTTGAGGTACGTGTTGCCCGCACAGTTTTATACATTACTGAGTGACCACTGCTTTTGGTAGGAATGCTTTAGCATATGGTTGTTCATATGATTTACCTGGCCCAATTATATAATTTGTGGACCCGCAGAAGTCACATTTACACATTTGCTGGCAACAGGTTGGCACTAAACAGCTCGATAGCACCCACTGGGGGCGCCCTGAAGAAATGGACATGCCTCGACCTCCAGAGATGGTAAATACTACCGTTCCTGGGTCAGATGTCGCCGGACAGACCGCCGCCGCATTGGCTGCCTCTTCAATTGCGTTTCAAACAGAAGGTATCATTCTGCACTTTTTTTCCTTTTACAACTGAGTCGTTGATTTTAGCAGAAACAATTCACCAATTATTTAATAATTAAATTGACCACCACAATAATAATAATATTATTTAGAACACGATTTGTTTACAAGAACAGAATGACACAGTGTCCTTAATGTTTAATTCGCGAGACTTATGACGTGTGTTTATTCTGCAGATCCAGCGTACTCTACCACTTTGCTAGAGCATTCAAAACAGTTATTTACTTTTGCCAATACATACCGAGGTCTGTATCCGGGTACCGATTACAGGTAACCGTGTTTATTAGTAGTTTTTAACAATCATTTTCAAGTATTGAGATATTCTCTATTAGAAAAACAAAACAAGCAAAACAAAAATCGCTGAAGGATTACACACTTATAGAACATATATACGCTCATAGGAACGTAGGCACAGAGAACGGGTTAAGCAGTTTTTTTTAATTTCTTGTGGTTCTTTAGTTCGAGGGCGGAATATAGTATTCTCCTCGATGCGGAACTAATGTAGTGAGTTTCTCAAATTTGTTACATGAAATGCAACAATCAATATTCCTGGAAATACAGCTGATTTTTGACAACACCATTTTTTCTGGGACCAAATATAAGATTAGTTTCTGTAAAAAATAAACAAGTATTGCACCCAACCTGGGTCGATAACGTGGTAGGCCTCCACACTCCTGGGGGTCTTTCGCCAGTATGAACCAATAGTTTTCTCAAATTAGTGTCACGGCACCAAAACTGTTCTGTAAAATGTGAAAATACTTGTACATGCTTGAAAATGCTTTAATCTTAACTTTCAATATGCATGATGTGCTAGTATAGTACGATCTTTGTTACCATGGAAACTCCTAGAACTAATATAACCGTTTTTTTTTTAAATTAACATAACTTTGGCCAATGCTTGTACGGGTATAGCTATGTCCACGAAAGAATTACATACATTATCAGCCTAGTTCTAAAAACTACATCATTGCTATAAATACGGTGTACAGTAATTGTGAGAATGGGTTTAGAATCATTGTATTTAGTTGAATGGGGTGATTCATACTGTAAATGACAAATAGAATGACAATCACTGAGTTTAGTGTAGATAGAGATAGAGATATCGACAATTGCCGTCAACCCTACTGGAAATATCAAGAAATGGTAGAGTTACAGCTTATTTCATGCGTGCATTGTATAGCAGGATTAAAGTTGTTCACAAACTCGATGAACTGCTATAATCTATCACGACTGCTCGACCTAACACTATGACATCATCAATGTAATTAACATAAAATTCTGGTTTCGTACTCTGAAACGACAAACAATTTAAATCTTTCTGATAAGACATGAATAAACATGCATAAATCAGCGACCCATTGCGACTCCTCGTTTCTGTAAAACAATATTTACCATGAAAAGTGGAACAACAAACATTCGAAACTAATTCCGCTGATTGGATTATTGTCAATAGCCAATCGGTGTGCGGGACAGATGTATACAGAAATTTGCCATACATAGAAAATCTGAGTTTATCCGAGTGAAACAAAACAACTCAAATCTTCTAAGCACACCAGTATTGTTGCAAACATATGTAGGCTGCGATGACCAATCATCTCGTCGACTTTGTAATTAGTTAATACTTGCCGTATTTATTAATTGAACCAACACGGGGACGATTTGCGCTAGTGCGATTTACAGACTCTGACCAAAAGTGTGGCGTTATAGCTAATAACCCACACTTTCGAATTAGTGCTTCTTAATTAAACCATTATATAATTAAAATTGTTAATTATCCACAATGCCCTTTTTGGTCTAAATAAACATAATTTTCTGTTGGGATGAAAAATTAAAACATGCATATGCTTTGAGTAATTTTTAAAATTAAAATTGGTCCGGGCTTGTCACAAGCACATCTAGATTTACCACGATGTTGGCGCATGAGATAGTATCAACATAATGTAAATGAACAAATAGACACTAAATCTTTAGAAAAAAAAAACACTTTACTTTACTTTAAAACGACTAGTACGATGTACTCAATGGAACATGTACAGTCGCGTATTGATGACATGCATTCTTTTATTCTTGCTTGCGACAGTTCTAGTGATTATGGCGATGATTTGTGTTTGGCAGCGTGTTGGCTGTACTATGCAACCAATGATGAAATATACATAGAAGAGGCAGAAAACATGTACAACGAATTCCAACTACATAAGTCGACATGGGCGTATTATTATAATGACTTCAAACCAGCTGTTCAGGTGAGGAAATTGCAACATGTGCGAGTACTGAATACAATCTAGAAATACGCATTAGTATTATACGTCTGTCACCGTAACGCCATAAGTTATAGCGTGCCGTATTTTTGCTGTATTATACGGGGTATTTTCATCCTACCATACAAGGAAATGCTAATTCCAAATATGGAATGAGTACGCGCGTAAGCGTCCTCCAATAATAAAAAACAAACATGGCTGCCCCCAGGGTTTGACCGGACCCTACACAAAAAGGTTTGCTAAATCTGTTCTAAAAAATTTGGATTTCGGCGTTCCCTTGATGTATTCCTAGAGGAAAAGGTTTATAATAATAAGGTTATTACGAGGATATTGCAATGTATGTATTCAGACGGTACGCGGTCGCATCGACCTCCACTGCGCGTCGGTCGATACTGACAGCTGTACTGTCTTCGTGTATAATTTACAGTATCATCGTAATGAATATATAAAATGTAATTATAGTAGACATTTCGTCGTTTCACTGAGAGCATTTTTTTTAATTTGGATTTAAATGTGTGTCTGTTCATTTCATTTTTGATTGTGCTAGGAAGGGTGTTCCACTAGTGTGTTGCAGTAAATTTAATTGTTTTTAGGCATAAAGTTAGATTTATTTTGGGGATATAAAAACTATCAGCCATTGCTAAACGTGTTGCATAATTGTGGGGTATTGGGTTCAGATAATGATTTATTTTATGTTCAAAACGACATGTTTGAAGCTTACATAACTTGTTAACATCTAATATTCCAAGTTTGAGCATTAATGTCGGAGAATGTGATGAGACGTACGACTTTTTTCTGGAGGCGCAAGATTGGTTCAAGAAAAGACGAGTACGTGTTTCCCCAAATCTCTAAACAGTAAGAAATTGATCTTGGAACATAATGCCAAATCTGTGAGATGATACCCACTTTCCTGGAGATTAATTTAGTTAGTAAATCTATATGAGGCTTCCACGTTAAATTACAGTCAATTGTCACGCCTAAATACTGTGTGGAACAAACGCCCTCTATTGGTGACCCATTAATGACCAAACTGCCCTCTGTAGTAACTATTCTTTGTGGTGACTTTCTAATCATGTAGTTTGTTTTCTGTGTGTTAATAGTAAGTTGGTTAGCATTACACCATTCACAGACTTTCTGTGTGTTAATAGTAAGTTGGTTAGCATTACACCATTCACAGACTTTCTGTGTGTTAATAGTTAGTTGGTTAGCATTACACCATTCACAGACTTTCTGTGTGTTAATAGTTAGTTGGTTAGCATTACACCATTCACAGACTTTCTGTGTGTTAATAGTTAGTTGGTTAGCATTACACCATTCACTGACTTTCTGTGTGTTAATAGTAAGTTGGTTAGCATTACACCATTCACAGACTTTCTGTGTGTTAATAGTTAGTTGGTTAGCATTACACCATTCACAGACTTTCTGGAATTCGTCATTAATGTCAGAGAAATAGATTGTGTTGTCTTTGACAGATTTAAACAGAGTTGTGTCATCTGAAAAAGACGAAAATCGAAAACATTGCTGGAATTTATAATATCATTGATATATATATAAACTAGAAATAGGACCTCATTTATAACCTGCCATGTTTTATTTGTGTTCCCGCGGGTAACAACAAATTTATTTGAGTAATAACACTTTTTAGCCGACTTTAGCAACTTGGTCAAGACGTTTCTATATTGTTTATATTCGCGTGCATTTTCGGGTTATTTAATTTTTATTAATGAATAATTTGTGTTTTTTTGCTGATTGACTTAAATAGTCTTCTAGTTAGCCAGGTTTTTTAGAGATTGTTTCCGTTTAAGATGTTTCATATAAACATTACTGAATTTTACATAACGTTCTGCGTACGCAGTATTCCTATCAGAGCAATCATAAACAGATCGTCATGAAATAGTGCTTAAATCGGCCAAGAAGGCCTCTGAATTTGTAAATATTGGTTTTTTGTCTAAAAACATATTTCAAATTGTTAAGGATACCAAAAATTGGATAATGATCGCTAATGTCCGTTAGGATCGTTTCACTTTCAATAAAGTGATCAGTGATATTTGTTACTAAATGGTCGATTGCTGTTCTGGATTTTTGAAAACCCGAGTAGCATTGTCGATTATCTGGGAGAAATTATAAGCATTGAGTAGGGTGAGATAGTTAGAAACAGGTGTGGTATTATGTGCAGTGTCAATGTTGACGTCACCAAGGATGATACACTTTTTACCACTAGCTGACAACTGGGATATGCATGCTTCTAAACTGTCAATGTAATCATAATAAGAGGTGTTAGGTTTTCGGTAGTTGACATAGCCGAGTCTATTGTTATTGACAATGGATTCCACAAAGATCGATTCACAATGTTGAATTTAACTATTATTAATGTGATTGAATGACAGAGAGCCGTGAATGTATAAAGCTACACCCCCCACCCTGGGAACTTTCTCTATTGTAAGTGATTAAATTATAATTTGGCAAGTTAACAAGGACAGATAACTAGTCTTCCTCCAATTTTAATATGTGTTAATATGTTGTTTTTTGGTGTTTTTGTTTATCGAACGTGAAT